AAAAGACTTGTATCGCTGAAGTTTCTCGGAAAGAATTTCTACGAAAAATTAACAAACGAACACACACATAACAATATTCTTGTCTAGAACATATTTTCAATGTTTTCAATATTCAATTGACATCGAACTTATTAAAATGCTCTATCTACCAAATTTGCCACTTCCACTTTGCTCACCATATATACGACCCTTTCAGCATCCAACTAGACATCCATAATTAGAAAACAACACCAGCACACCATCCTTCATTGAACAGTGATCTGCCGGAGCTAGTGCTGTTCACTTCTTGGACAAGAAACCATATATCTCTTGCGTGACTTGTATCACATACATTTGTTTAGTCCACTATCCCTGGGCTTGATCTGTGTGATATTAAATGACTTTCCCTCAGCTCATTCATTGCACAGGCAAATATGGGTTGTAAACTCTGCAGTATACCCATCCCAAGGACGCCTATTCCACATGTAAGATCAGAAATGACCGCTTTTGTTCTTTAGGTGACACCTACAAACTAAGATAGAGGTTTATTTTTTTCTGATGTCTATTATATTGTCATTTGTTTGAACAAAATTTGTGTTTACTGGCTATATTGGTGAATTTACTGGGAAAGCTTGGAAAATTACAAGGTGTTCCAGGGTTTTTGCTGCTTCAATGTCCACCAATAACTAATAACTCAACTTTTTGTTCTTGCATCTTTATAAGCATATACCAGGCCCACCCAGTAGTGACAGAGCTGGGCTGATCATCAGACTCCTTGGTGCAGGGTAACCATTGTGTTCCACAATAGGTTTTATCAGACATTCACCACTCATTACTGATCGTTGGAGATGTGCTGGTCTGACAGCTATTATCAATATTTTTTATCCACTTTCTTGCTTGGCAAAGTGAGGATGTTGGGGATTAGCAGGAATCTTCTGGGCATTTGGCTATAGCTTGTCACCCTGCCATTCTCGTAGTGAAGCAAGGCAGGGGTAGTTCATCTGTCAGTTCCCTGTTTGTCTATAGGTGAAGCAGCCACTTCATTCTTTCTTTCTCAAATGATGTCCAAATAGGACATTGGCTGTGGTTGTGATAGAACTTGTCTTTTGGATGGGTATGACATTGCCATGTACCCTGTGGGAGAATTACATAGTCATGCCCACTCACTGGAGTTGTCGCTGCAGATGTCACTGCATGCTTTCTACTTTCCAGTAATTGGTTTGAAGTTACCAATTCAAAGCACATTGCAATGGACAATGGCTCTGAGAGGATGAAGATGCTCCTCACCCTCAGGTGTTGCCATATAAATTCACAAGAGAGTCTCTCAAAGAACTTATTTCAAGGATGTCCCCTGATCTTCTTAAGCCATTACTATATATGTCTTTCTGTGCAATTGGAACAGATCAACCACCTAGTTGGCCAGACCCTTGTTGACAATCCTCTTTATGATCTTAAACTTGGCCCAATAGATCGTGTTATTTTCCACCAGGTAAAAGTGGTAGCGCAGCTCATACACAATGAATCATTTAGTTGCCATTCATTCAGCAACATCTAGGGCTGGACCCTCTTAGCTCAAGACCAGGTATTGGACAGCCTGCTCTGAAGTACATTCATTCTAGGTCAATGCCTGAATCATTTCAGGGATCAATACAAGTATTGTTTCATTGTTCCCCTGAAAGTCAGAGATACGATTTGTTTGTTCTCATTTACCAAACCCTGTGAGCTCAGCCAAAGCAAGCTTTTCTCTTTCTGATACTGATCATGATGTGTACCAGGAGGCAGCATTATTGATATTTTCAGCTCCTGTTGAAAGCTGTTTACTGGCAGTCTCCATCCAAAATAGCTGAAGAGCAACAAGTCATTTGTGATGACTTGTTTTATAGCTCTGCATGACTCCAGTTGTCAATAATATCATCTTCTAGATGGGGAACCACTCTATTCCTCTCCAGGCTTCGGCCCATGGGACACAGACTTCACCTCTGTGTGCCCATTGCTTCACCTGCTGGGGAGACTTCTTTAATTGGTAGAATTCCTCTGCTAGTGGCATATTCAGTATCTGTACACTCATTACTGATGGTTTTCACAGGAGATTTAACAGTTAATTCCTCGTATGGTCTCGAACTCATTAAGTACCCCACCATTCTAGCAGAATTAACTCATCTGTGTTTTCCTTTTGCCAAGATTGATCTTCAGGAGCACCACCTGCTAACGTAGTCTAGGTGCACCAGACATGGGCAGATCTCCCTGAGTAAGTGATTGCAGACTGACTCATGTTATCTACCTTTGCAGCATTGACAAAAGTCCTACTTTCAGGAGAGGATCCCCCTAGGCTCAACATCTCTCATGCTAAATAATCTCTCTCTGTGTAAATGGAATCTAATAAAAAACTTTAGGTGTAGAAAAAAGATGTGACCAAAGAAAGGATTGAGTGTGCGATTTAAATGAATGAAATCAAAATTGGCGGCCAAACTGGTAGCTACGCTTATAGTATTGATAATAATTTTACAGCAAATATTCGTTTATTAGTTAGATAGGCCGAGTATTTTGTTATACCCATCATCATGCCCCAAGTTGAACAAAAAAACGCGGCCTGGCTACTAGTGAATCAATATTGTTACGTCTCCG